TACGGGTTCAAATTTAACTGAGGATCTGAAAAACTTTGTGGAAGAGTTGCAGAAAGTATTTGAGGTGATGCATGTCGCAAATGCTGAGCGTATGGAACTAGCTGCTAACTAACTAAAGGGTGTTGCTAGAGTCTGGTACGACCAATGGAAGAAAAGTAGACTTTTGGGTGCACTAATTGTGAGTTGGGTTGTGTTCGAAGAGGCCTTCTTAGGGCATTTCTTTCCACGTGAGTTGAGGGAGGTGAAGGTAAGAAAATTCCATTACTTGAAGCAGGAATCCATGTGTGTGCATAATTATAGCCTCAAGTTCACTCAACTATCTCGCTATTCTCCGGAGATGGTTGCTGACACGAGGAGAGTAATGAGTTTATTTATATCCGGGTTATTTCGCTTGTCAAGTAAGGAAGGTAAGACAGCTATGCTGATAGGAGACATGGACTGTCAAGGCTTATGATCCATGTACAACCGGTTGAGGAGGATAAGAGAGATAGAGAAGAGTTTCGAAACAAGAACGCCAAGACAACGAGTAATGAGTCCGGGCAGCAGAAGGGTAATGCGAACCAATTATCTTTTCAACAAAATCTAATTAGACATACTCCATCATTTGCTAGTTCATCTGCACCAAGGAAAAGAGGTGAGTTCAAGAATCAATATTTTCAGAACCTTAGAGCTAGACCTGCACAATCTCAAAGTAGTGTTTCATAAGGAGGTAATTGCACTCCTGCATGTGCTAAGAGTTGTAGGAACCACCCAGGGGCATGTCGTGATGTCTCCACTGGTTGCTACAAGTTACTTCATGAGAGAGTGGCCTAAGAACATGCATGGTAATGGTAATGGGGGCAATAGAGCCAAATCTTCTTCAGTGGCTCCGCCAGACAGAGCTACACCTAGAGGAGCTACTTCAGGGACATGTGCAGGACCAAACCGTCTATATTCTATCACCAGTCACCAAGAGCAAGAGAATTCGCCTGATGTTTTGTCACGACCCAAGGTAACCCCAGGCATAACATGGCATATAGGACCCCGAGAGGGCCAATACAAGCCACTTAGCATTTCTAACATAAAAAATAGAACAAAAGAGACGGTTCAGATTATACAAGCTCTTGAATTTCAGCCTATAAAATACAAGAATGTTTAAAATATTTCACTGAATCAATCCAGAGAGAAAATGTTAAATGAAATTTATCGATAAACATACATATTTTTCATTGGTTTCGGGTTCGACAAGCTCATTTCCCTTTTTACGAGTCTCAAAGAAGATAGTTGCCATGTTTGGTGGATTACCATATTTGCCTCCCTTAACATTAAAAAAAGTAAGTACTATAAGATCTTTTATACAAAAAGGAGGTTTCCTTGTAGGGTTTCATGATTTATTTACCAGTTAGTAAATAATTTCTCTTATAGGCTTGCTACCCATACGATGAGGCATACACAACTTAGACCTGTTGATTGTGTTTCTTGTACTTGATTCCTCCATTAACAACACAAGCTGGAATTATCACAGGCTTGTTTAATGATTCTATTTTTATTCTTAAATTATCTTTTGTAACTACTTTGCATCCTCTTGATCACAAATGAAATCATTTAATCAAAAGAACTATTCCAAAACAGTAAACATATGTGACTTGGAAATAAAATGATATTAATCAATAGCTATGCAATCATACCTTAAACTTTTTAGTATAAAAAATAGTTCCTTGACCAACCATTCCCAATCACTCTTGTCTACTCATATTGACACATCTTTTAGAACCTCATGCAATGACATGGATTTCACATTCTTGTGCAGCGATCCTATCCAATTGTTCCAAAGCTTTCTCATATGTTGCAAAACATTATCTCTTTGATCATTCATGTTATCATAGTCAAACTTTTCCTGAAATAGAGAAAAATATCATCAGAATCAGAGAAAGACACCTTGGATTGCAAGTTAATGTTCTTGATTAATGGATTTGAAGGGTTGATCTTGCATGTCAACTATGTAAGAACTTTGTATGGGGAGGTACTGCAGATCATAGAAAGACGCCTTTTACTAATTGGGATAAGGTGTGCCTCCCATATATAATTTTTGAGGACTAAAAGTTAAGGGATGTATGAAATGGAATGAAGCTTCTGTTGGCAAACTACTATATGGAAGGTTTCAGAATAACTAGACATCCTCTGGGTAACATGGACACATGCAGTGTATATGAAGTAATATGGAAATATATGAGATCACATACCACCTACAGATTGTTGTTGCTACTGGAGAAAGTTAACGTCTCTAAACACTGGGATGGTTGATTAGTACCAAAAGAGAAAGTACAAGTTGACAAAGAGTGAAACGTACGTAATCAGCCACCAGGAGTTAAGGAGTTATAGGGGTCCAGACCAGTCTTTGGGAAGCATATCTTACTTGGACAAAATTTATGCAACCAAAGCATAATTAAATTTATCCTCTAGTTGGCAAACTAGAACAAGTTGCTTATGAAGACTCGAATGATGAGACTGATTTAAGAATAGCTATTACCAAAACACACAAAAAATTCCCCCCCTCAGTCTTAGTATTCACTCTATATTTAGTCTCCTAAGTGAAATCTAACACCTCGCGGCACCCATTGTGTTTGCAGAATAAATGTAAAAGGCAACACAATAATATACTATAAACAAACGCAAGAAGAAGAGGGGAAAATATTGTTGTTATAGTAGCAACGGTATCAAGTCAGCGAAAATAAAAGAGAGTAATATTGTATTTCTTACTGTAACAGCTGCCCACATATGCTCAAGCTTGTGCTCTTCAATATCCATCAATGAGTGTACCCGTAATGGGCACATATTACGATCACGAACTAGCAAACACAAGTGTCTCGTAAATGAGGTGTGATACGGCCCAAACGACATGATTTTGATAGAAAGTGACTTTTAACTTTTCTCCAGGTCTTAATCGCAAAACTTTCTTACAAATGTTTGTTTCCCTCACCTTGGTTGTCCTATCATATTCACATGGACCTGCAAAATTTAAAGTAAGTCAACTATGCTCTTTGATATAAATTTGATCTTTAGTGATAAACCATCAAAAGAATCTGGAGAATAGTCCAGTAGTTAAGTTTTAGGTGTCAACTTTTGAAATTATTACTGTATACAATGGTCTGGTCTTTTTAGATCTATAAGACCAAATATGCAAAATAACATTCTATCTGGTTTTCGACAAGTACCCATCCACAGTTCCAAACCAAGTTACAACTAGACAAAAAAGGCAGAACATAGCCCATTGCAAGAGATAAGGCCTCAAGTTGCCAAAAAAAATGTGATACAGAAAGGGGCAACTAGCAGTGGAATAAATTTTGGAAAGCTTAAGATCCCAAATCAGTGACTTTTAATTTTTAGAAACTTTCATTCAGAAAATCACAATTGATGAATCAAGAATCGGTGGAGGTTAATATAGTTACGACTAGTGAGAAAAAACATAATGAAGCATCAGATGTCAAATACATAGAAAAAAAACTTTTCAACCATTTTACCAGTAACATCAAGAAAAGAAAATACATACTAGTTTCATTTCTCGTAGCATCTTCAGCCACTTCAATCACTTTTTTAGCTTTTTTAGACTTTAATTGACCTGCAAATTATAATATTAAAACAAAATAAAACTTCAAGCCAATTAACAACAACAAAGAATTACTCAAAAGAAAGTAATATAAACTAGTATCACTTCTCTGAACATCTTGATACACTTCAGTCATTTTTTTTGCCTTATCATATCCAACTGGACCTGCAAAGTTTAAAGTAAGTCAACTATGCTCTTTGATATAAATTGATCATTAGCGCCAAATAATCAAAAGAATTTGGAGAATGATCCAGTAGTTACGTTTTAGGTGTCAACTTCTGAAATTATTAACGTATACAATGGTCTGGTCTCTATAAGATTGTAAGACAAAATATCCAAAATACCATGCTATCGGGTCACCAAATTTCCTTCTCCTTTGAGAGGTACCAATCTACAATTCCAAACTAAGAGACAACTAGACAAAGCAGGCAGAACAAATGTGAAAATCCCCACAACTATATTTCTTTTATCCATGTGATTCCACAGCACAGTTCCAAGCCAAGTCACAACTAGACAAAACAGGCAGAACATTGCCCATTGCAAGAGATAAGGCTTTAAGTTGCCAAAAAAAATGTGATATAGAAATGGGCAACTAGCAGTGGAATAAATATTCGAAAGCTTCAGATCTCAAATCAGTGACTTTCAATTTTTAGAAACTTTCATTCAGAAATCACAATTGATGAATCAAGAATCGGTGGAGGTTAATATGGTTAGGACTAGTGAAAAAAAACATAATGAAGCATCAGATGTCAAATACATAGGAAAAATAACTTTTCGGCTATTTTACCAGTAACATCAAGAAAAGAAAATATCACACGGAAGAAAATATATACTAGTTTCATTTCTCAAGTCATCTTTAGCCACTTCAATCACTTTTTTTTGCCTTTTTAGACTATAATAGACCTGCAAATTATAATATTAAAATGAAATAAAACTTCAAGCCAACTAACAACAACAAAGAATTACACAAAAGAAAGTAATATATACTAGTGTCACTTCTCTGAACATCTCGATACACTTCAGTCATTTTTTCTGGCTTATCATATCCATTTGGACCTACAAATTTTAAAGTAGTCAACTATGCTCTTTGATATAAATTGATCAGTAGCGCTAAATAATCAAAAGAATATGGAGAATGATCCAGTAGTTATGTTTTAGATGCCAAGTTCTGAAATTATTACTGTATACAATGGTCTGGTCTTTTTAGATCTATAAGACCAAATATGCAAAATAACATTTTATCTGGTTTTCGACAAGCACCCATCCACACTTTCAAACCAAGTGACAACTACTTGCTTGTGTATGTTGTGTTAGAGCCAAATAATCGAAAGAATCCGGAGAATGATCCAGTAGTTAAGTTTTAGGTGTCAAGTTCTGAAATTATTAATCTATAAAATGGTTTGGTCTCTATAAGATTGTAAGATATAATATCCAAAATACCATGCTATCGGATCACTAAATTTCCTTTACCTTTGAGAGGTACCAATCCACAGTTCCAAACCAAGGGATAACTAGACAAAGCAGGCAGAACAAATGTGAGAATCCCCACAAAAAACAAAATGTGATACAGAAAGGGGAATGGACACAATCTAAGAAAGATGTTGCTGAAGCAGGATTGCAATTTTTCCAGAATGGAGAGTTACTGAGACAAATAACTACTAATATTGCCCTTATCTCGAAGGTCCTTGTTCCTGAAAATGCTAGTCATATTCTAACATATCTATTTCCTAGGGAAGCGAGTCATAGATAATTTGTTTGCTGCTTTATAGGTAACAACAAGAAAATACTGACTATTTTGATTTCCCTTGGAACCTTGAGCTACTCCAACCACTTTTTTTGCTTTTCTAGATTCAAACGGACCTACAAATTTAAGTGCAAATAAAAAAAATCAAGACTTCAACTAAACTAACAAAAAGAAATTGCACAAATAAAAAAAATAGTAGTATCACTTCTTTGGGCAACTCGAGGCACTTCAATCACTTTTTTGGACTTATCGAATTCAAATGGACCTACAAATTTTGATGGAAGTGAACCAAAATAAGAAATTTATTCCCATTAGTAACAAAAAGAATACAAAGGAGATTAAGTATAGAAAGCTAAGTAGAATTTCTTGATCAAACAGATTAATCAAACTAACTCTTTTGCAAATGATCACTTCTTTGAGTATCTCGAGTCACTTCCGTTTCTAGAAAGAGGGTGTCATTGTCTTCCATTGGATTAAAATCAGGAGGCACAGGGATACTCTTCTTTGCTGGCTTATTTCGACTAGAAGTTGTTGTAGTATTTCTATTTTCGCCAATCATAGTCCTTTCTTCAGAATTAATCCTTAAGCTTTGTCCCTGACCCCTTGCATCACAAGTCAAAGTGTATTGATTCATTTCAGCTTCTTGATGGAGGGGAGCATTGTCTTCCTTTTCCTTAAAACAAGGATGCATATGGAAACTATTATCTGCTAGCTTATTCAACTTAGAAGTTGTTGTATAGTAACTTCTATTTTTGGCAATCGGAGTCCTTCGTTCAGCATTAACTCTGATAGTGCTCATAGATTTCAAACTTTGACCTAGTCCTTTTGCTAAGGCACCTGGCTGAATAAGTCATGCTTGGGAAATTTTGAAGCTTGTCCCATTTCATACTTCAGAGTTTTTGAGGGATTCATGTCAACCTAGTTAAATACAAAAAAAAAATAAAGAGCAAAGTCTTCCAAACAAAAGTTCAAATAGGTTAGGAAGTTTTTCATAAGAATAAATGTGAATTGAAAACGCATTAAGAAAAGAGACAGATGTACATGTAACATAGGTTCCTAACATGAACCATTACTACTATAGTAAGATCAAGATAACATTAAAGACCAAGTGCATCAAACAAATTTTCATAAAAATACTATAAAGAATCATTACCATAAAAAAATTAATAAAGTAAAGGAAAGCATGACAAAGCTCCAAACCTTAATGCGTTGTTTTTCTTTTCACTTGTGTAGAGTTATCTAACTCTTCTAAGTCATCATCCTTTTTTTCAAAATTATCAAAAGAATCACGAGGTTGAACCTTTTGCCCTATGTCCCAACCTTTATTGGAATGATCGATAGCATAAAGTACTTGTGATGCTTGGCTAGCTAATACAAATGGCTCATTTATTTTCAAATATCGCCGACGGTTAACACTTACAAATCCATATTCATCCATTTTAACTCCCCTCTTTCGATCATACATCGGAATAAAATCACTCTTCTTTCCCCAAGAAATTGTAATTCAAGAACCTCGGTTAACTCGCCATAGTAATCCATATGGATTTGTTCTTCCCCGGTCTCACCTACTACAACCACTCCACAATTTTGAGTTTTCAAATATTGATCATACTCTTTCACATGAAACCTATATCCATTAACAATATGGCCTTTGAATCTTGTGACATATGGCATAGGGCCACGTGATAAAGATAGCAAATCTTCCATTCTCTTACTATCATCATGTTTGTATAATCCTGCAACCTAACAACATCAATAGCTTTTTAGAAACAATATTTACATACTTGATTTAAGAAAATGATTAATTTCTACTCACCTTTTTTGTAACCAAACTAATGAATTTTCTATTCCACTCCACATCTGAACTTTGTTGAGATGTCTCACTATAAATTTGTGAAAATTTTCTAACAAAGAATTGAAGTTTTACATGTTATTTTAAATTAAACATATAGATAAGGTATAAATAAATTATTAGATTAAATCAATACTTACTCGAGAAATGGTTGAATTTCATCACAGTTCTTCAAAATATAAAAATGTGTGTCCTCCATATCGTTTGAATCAAGTTTATCTGGTGTGCCACCCTTTAAACTCTTTCCAGATTCACAGAATATTGTCAAACCACCCTTAGATTCAATTACACCACCATCATAATTTCTCTCTGGACAATTAAACTTTGTCTTTATTGTAATTAAATACCTTGAACATAAAGTCATACATTCAACTGCTATATATCCCTCTGCAATCGAACCTTCAGGATGAGCCATATTACCAATAAAACAGTTTAAAAAGTGTAGGTATTTCTCTATTGGATACATCCATCGATATTGAATTGGTCTGACAATCTTAGCTTCATCGGGTAGATGAATAGACAAGTGTACCATGACATCAAAAAATGCAGGAGGGAACACCTTTTCTAACTTGCACAATGTTATTGGTATTTGAGCTTCTATTTGTTCCAACTCCTCTACGCTCAAACATTTTGCTCCAAGCATTATGACAAAAATGAATGATATCTCTATGTTTACATTTAGTTTACAGTTGTTAGAATCAATAGGGAGTAAAGGTACACTTTAAAAGGACTTAGACGGAGCAAACACCAGAAAAAAAGGTGGGGCCAGGCGACCCTGGTGAATTGCGGCACGGGGCGCCAGCCCCTAAACTTCAAAGAACATAATCTGGTGCAATTCTGGTGCGTCGCCCCATCCCCTCTAGTACATCCGGGGTGTGCCACTCCATCCCCTTTCCAGGTCAATCCGACGAATTTTTCTTCTCATTTTTTTATCCTAAATCACTTAGAATCGATTGATTTCCTCAAATTTTCCTTAGATTCAATTACTCTATACAAGTACACGAGAATATACTAAAAACAACCCTCAAACTTAACAAGATTTATCTCAAGAACTCATCAAACTCATGGCAAACGATTTAAGAATGAAACTTCAAGAAAACTCATCAAAAACCCAAATCATTCAACCTCAAGAATGAAATTACGGATTTAAAATCACATGATTGACGTGTGGCTGAACGAACCCAACACTATGAGAACTTACATACCTCTTAGGGATCAAACCCTAGGCAAAATTCCACAACAAAACTCAAGAATCTTGACGAACGCCTTGAACCTTCCCTCTTTTCTCGTCTTTTCTCTTCTTGAACTCTCTTCTAAAACCCTAAGAGTAAATTAGGATTGTGAAACTGACCCAAATCAGTTTTGACCCCTAAAATATTATTAAAATCATTTTAAGCTAATGGGGTAAGGAAAAGACCGAAATACCCCTCATTAATTCGGGTAACTTTGTTTAATGGATAGGCTGACTTCAAACGGACATCTCCCTTATTCGAACTCGAAACATAGCAAACTCGGTGGCGTTGGAAAGAGGATTCCAAGACCTTTATTTTTGATATCGTATGGGCCACCTAACTCATCATGTACTTAAAGTTATGGTCGTTTGAAGTTGACCCAAAACTCACAACTTAAGCGTAACTTGCAAAATTCCCAATTTAGCTCTTTATAAATGTAACATCCCGCCTTAGAAATAACTATAATTTTAAAGAAAACTATTTTTGGAGAGAATAAAATTTTGAAATTTTGGCAAGTTATGCTAAGTATGAGTTTTGGGTCAACTTCAAACGACCATAATTTTCAGTACAGGAGGAGTTAGGTGGCCCATAAGTTATCAAATAAAGGTATTTGAATTATCTTTCCCACGGCACTGAGTTTGAAACATTTCGAGTTCGTATGAGGGAGATATGATCATTTGAAAATCTGTCTGTCAATTAAGGAAAATTACCCAGATTTAAGAGAGGTATTTTGGTCTTTCCCTTACCTAATTGAGTTAATACGAAATTTGGTAATATCTAGGGGTCTAAACTGATTCGGTTCAGTTTTAAAAATCCTAAAATACGCTAGGGCTTTGAGAGAAGTTCAAGAAGAGGAGAAAAAGGAGAAAAAGTCAAGCGTTCGTCAAGTTCTTGAGGACTTTCGTTGCGGATTTCGCCAAGGGTTGATCCCTAAGAGGTATGTGAGTTCACATAGCATTGGGTTCATTCACCCATGCTCCAATCATGATTAATTCAACATAAATTCGTTCTGGGAAGTAGAGGATTTGAGTTCTTGATGAGTTTTGTTGAAGTTTCATTCATAATCTTGATTGTTGAGTTTTGATGAGTTCTTGAGTAAAACGCATGAGTTTTAAGGTTGTTTTTGAGTATATTCTTGTAAAATAATGATGGGTATTCGAATCTAAGTGATTGGGGAAGAAACCACTTGATTCTAGATGAATTAGGGTCGAAAAACATGTAAGGAAATTCGTCGAACTTTCTGGGAAATGGGGTGAGGCGCCGCGCCACTCAGTGCACCCTATATCAGGATCTGTAGTTTGGGCTCTAGGTGCCGCGCCACTAAGTGCACCCCAACCCAGGTTCTGTAGTTATGGGTCTGGCCCCCTGCGCCACTCAGTGCGCCAAGGTCTCCAGGTCCTCTACCATTTCCTACTTCTTTCCGTTTGAGTTTCCTCGAATCGTACGTATGTTTTCAAATTGATTTCTACACTCTAAGGTACGTCTAAACATCTAGAAATCATCCATAAACATGAATGATAACCTTGAATCCATAAATTCAAATTCAAGGAAAGTTAAGAGCCATGTCTAGAGAGCTCTTAGAGTCTTTTCAAAAGTCTTTTACAAATGCTTTAAACTTGTTTTAGGACTTGAGCATCGAGTTGAGTAAGAGTAAAAGTGAAGTTCATATTCTTCAAAAGATTTTATAGGAACTAAGTATTCCCAAAGGGTAAATGTTTTCGCATTTAAACAAGAGAGGAAACACGGATTTCGTAGAGAGCTTTTGAGCTAGTTTTGAGTAATTATCTCCAACCACAGAAAGAGTTATGTTTTTAAACGTATGAGCTAGTTACATTTTGGGAGTAGTATTGAGCACCGATTTGGGGACGAGTTTGAGTTCAGATAATTCAAAGTTTCCATAAACCGTGTAGCCAACATGGGTAGAAAAGGGTCATACTTTTTAGATGATTCCTTAATGCTTTTAGCATAGACTAGTGGATCCATTTAGTAGTTAGGTTCTATACCCTCGTCAAGGTAAATGACAACCCTGACAGCGAGAGGCAAGACGTTGTATTATCACATAGCTTATAGTGATTGTTGTCGGTTAGAGAAACTCCTACAAAGATATTTTGTATTCTTATATTCACAGAGTTACTTGTATTTTCATATACAAACCAATTTATTGTTGTATTTTTTCAATACACTGAGTTGTTATCTACATGTTTTAAAGCTTTTCTTTATATTGCATTTATATTACTGCTTTATATTGAAATGAATTAAGTTGAGTTAAGACCAGGTAAGTTCTTTCAATTCCCTTTCAGGCTTATGTCTTATTTCAGAATTCCCCTCGCATGCTCGTACATTCAATGTACTAATTTCATTTGGCATGCATCTTTTATGATGCAGATACAGGTAACCAGGATCAGCATCCAGCGCTTCGTTGATCTAGTTGAGCTTCAGAGTTGTTGGTGAGCCTCCTTTCTTCAAGAGGATCCCTATTTATTGTTTCATTATTCTAGTTGATTAGGATGTTGTGGGTCTTGTCCCAGTGTCCATCTTATTTATTAGAGGCTTCATAGATAGTTAGATATTATTAGTTCTTGAGTCTTTCATTTTCAATTGTTATGACTTGAGTTGCCACTTTTGCTAGTTGAATGTTTATTTCTAAAACATTCTAAGTTATCTATTCAGTTACAGTTCACTTTTTGAAGTTCTTTTTATCATGAATAAGTCTTCCGCTAAGAGTTAAGCCAGGCAGAGGGTTCGCTTGGGGCAAAAAATGATTCTCGAGTGCCGGCCACATCCAGGGTGTAGGCTCGGGGCGCAAAAAATTGTCACTACCCAAGGGTAC